GCATCCAGCCATAGCCATGTCTGTTTTAGAGACTCTCTTCTGCTCCTCCATTATTGAGGGGACCCCTCGGGCACGTAAAAAGTTGCCTAATTCCGTCATTTTCCACCAATGTGTCACTGGCCACCTCAAACAACTCACATCTTTGTCAGTGAAGCTGAGTGCTCCCACATCTCTTCCTTCATGGTGCCCATCTACCGTACATTAAGATCCAAAAGTCTGAGAAAAAAGTCAGAATTCTGAGATTAAAGTCAGAATTCTGAGAAAAAGGTCAGAGTTTTGTTTTTCCCATGTTAAACTGAAATAAAATTTAAAAATCAGTTAACTTTTTTTTTTTTTCCAGTGGCCCTAATCTTCTTCCGAACACAACTGACATATATTTAAAGGTTATTTATGTTAATATCTTTAGTAACCTAAGAGCAGTGAGCAGAGAAGTCCTCTTGCAATCTGAAAGTTCTATGGTCGACTCCAACTTCCTCTTGTGAAATGTCAGTGTGCCCCCAGGCAAGGCACTTAACCTTGAGTTGTTTGCTGATTAGTTTGTACAGAGAGTTTGATCAGGTGAATGTGGCTAAAGTGTTAAGTGCTTTGATTTGTCAGTAATAGCAAAAAAGTGTTGTATAGATTCAGCTCATTTACAGTTTATGATAGGAATGAATGGCCCTACATAAAGGTAGTAAAATAAATTATATTCGGTTTCAAATGTTGTTGCATAAGACAATTATAAAGTATTTTTTCCATGATATCAAGCTTTAAAATGCTGACAAGCTATATAGAGATACATATTTCATTTTACAACAGGACTTTGTACCTGTCCACACTTGATACGTGTCTATCCCCAATAATCACCCATTTTATGTCTCTTGGTCGACAAACTCTGCTAAACTTAACCTAACTGTGAATATGTTGAGTATATCCAAAAAGTAAGAGGAGAGATACATGCTAACAAGCTAAAGGCAGCTATCAAAGCTCCCTGAACAACTCAGCAGAAGACATTTCTGTATTTAAAGTCTTTTCTTAAATATTTTTTACCTAATATTCTAATTTTCCAAGAAGAAGAGTTTTCAATTAGCTCAGTTATAAGAAATGAACAGAAATAAGTCAAATTTACTCAGTTACAGTTACAAACTTTCTCAGTGTGAAATGCATACATAGACAACATCAAGATCAATCTACAAAATTCCTTTTTTTAAATTACATCCTTGGAATAAGTTCCTCATCATTGACATTCTGTATTTCTGAGATGTACCTGTCATTTTTGCTTACTGATGTTCATGTTCATCAGTGCGGTTCTCTCTCTGTTCTGATCTTCAGGGTAAACCTTTGTTCTCTGTTCTGTCTCCATGTTTTGCCTTCAGTGTCGTTTCATCAGAGAAGGTGAGCAGTCTGGCTTCAGGAAAGCTTTCTCCACGTAGTCGCCTGCACACCATCACCAGGAGCCCTGCAGGCCTTCGGAGGACACCTTCCAGGGAACTGGTCTGTTTTGGCAGACACAAGCTGAGGCGCCTCTCTCCTACCTCGTCAAAAAGTAAGAAACGCTCATCAGGGTACTTAAGATGGACCAGTTTCCTGTAAAGTAACTGATATGAATTGAAAGAAGCTATCATAGTTTGTAGTCCAGTTGACCCTGAATTGTTTTATCACTTAGATGCTTTGACATTAGCCTGTTTTTAAGGTTGATCATTTGTTGTCCCACATTTTAACCTTGTTTTAAATTGTGGTCTGTTTTATCAATTTAGATAAATAAGCAGAGAATTCTTGTTTAAGATTGCTGTTCTGGTCAAAATTGGATCAATTAATATAAACTAACTTTTACATGTGTTTGTTTAGCTGTTCTAAAAGTAGCTGCTAAATAATCCCGTAAACCTTAACAGTTTTTACTGCTGGTTTCCAGTCCTACCATCTAGGATTC